CAGAGCCAAAGAGGAGAGGGAGCAAGTCAAGGCATCCCCATGAAGCCGACCATCCCTCCTCCTCTTGTCCCCATGTCCGCCGCCTCCTTTCCCCTCCGCTCGGAAGGGAGGAAGGCAAGTCATGACAGCACCACAGGAGAGCCCTGGGCATGCAGATCCCCTCTTTGGAATCCTCTTCAATTACCCTTGTCCAGATGGCTCAAATTTACCATGCTAACTTTATCTTGATACAAGTGAAAAACAAAACCTGTAAAGTCAGTATTGTTGGTAAACCATGTCTGGCACAAAGAATGATTTGTCAAATGAATGTCTAAAGTTGCACCCCCTTGGATCTCTCCCCTGCAGCAGGCCACGACGAAGCTGGTGACGCCCCATCCCGTCATGCACAGACGTGGCCACCGCCTCGGTCTTGCTCCCTCTCTGCCCTCCTGGTGTCCCCTAGAGAGGCTCCCCTGCAGGCCTGGAGAACCCCAGTGGCCCCAGAAGGCCACTGACCCCAGAGCTGTAAACAGAGCTAATCCAATCAGTGGCCTCTCCCAAACATCCATGCCACCCCTGCCCCTTCCCTCTGTGCCTTGTCCCTCTGAATGCCGCCGGGATCCGTGCTGGAAGGCGCTTGCAGCTCTGTGGGTGTCCCAGGCAGCTGCTACTTCCATAACTCCTGGTGTCTGGTAACCGTCCCGACACAACTGTGATCTTGGCTTGGAACCAGATTCATTAATCCCAATCCATCTTCCTCTTCCTCCTGACGGGGTGGGTGGACTGGGTTCTGGAAGCGGCTGTTCCCCACCACCCACAACGCTTGACTTCTGGCTCTGGCAGGAACAACGAGACAGCCTGGGGTAAGCTGTCCTGCTTCCTGAGAAGGCCCATGGCACCGGCCTGCAAAACACACCAAGCTCGTCCTCCATCGGGTCAGAGCCCCCGGTCCTGAGCAGAGAGTGCGGGTTTTTCACATAAGGAAGAACTGGCCAGAATCACAAAGACCCCTAAACCAATCCTGTTTTGCTTTGCAGAAAGATAATAGTCTTTACTTTCCCGCAGCTTACTCCTAGCTCCAGTGACTACGATGTCCGTGCCTCCCCGCAGGGACGGATTCCTTGCGGCCCCGCTACAGACAAGTCTGCAACACACGTCCTGGGGAAGCAGCTGAGGGGCCATTCTCTGAGAGGTTTCTAAAAGAATAGACAGAGTCTCGGTGCTGTGTGTATATTTTCTCTGCTTTGGAAACAAAACCAGTCATAAAGTCCGCAGTGCTGGAAGTGGACTTTGAGACCATTGAATCTGAGCCCTTCCTCTCCACTAGACAGGCGAGCGAGCCCGCAGGCAGGCGGGCGGGGTGGGGGGGCCTGCAGCCGGATCGGGGCAGCACGTCTCCACTCGTCACACACCCTCACTCCCCGACACCACCGCTCTCCCAGCGCCCCTCGCCCGACGGCTCTGCAACTCCACCCAGACACATTTCTACCCAGTTGCTATTTTTTTTGCACCTGCTGGTGTGTCTTTTTGTATTTGTCATTGTGTACATTTAATGGCATATATCCTCTATTACCTATAGGCTGAAAAAAAACGGTCTTTTGGGTTTCTCCTGTAAATCTGTGTTAATGACACATCAGTGACTTGGCAACAAGTCCTGATGACTTCAACTAACCTCCCCCTGGCAACCATCTCAGGTGTTCCCGCAACATCCAGGTTCAAGTACTGGCTCTGTACTTTCGTAGCCATGTGACCATGGGCAAGTGATATAGCTTCCCTCTGGAAGTGGTACCAAGGAGTGGCATTCTTAGCAAGAGAGGGCTTTAGCCCCCACACCTTCCACAGTCACCCCAGAGAAACATCCAATGTGTAAGTGAAAGCAACGAACAGCAAAAATCAGCTTCAGGACAAAATCTCCTGGTACTCTGCAACCAAGATTGTACCTTATAAATCCTCCTGTTTATTAAAAATTCTAGAGTTGCACTGTTCCTTCTTCCCAATTCCTCCATTTGAAAAGGGGAAAAAAATACCGTTATAGGGTTATTAGCCAAGGTAAAATATGCTAATCCACGTAAAGCATTTGCACTTTGAAAAACTGTCCAGTACACGTCAACACAGCACCATGACTGTGGGGTTGGAAATCAATGAACAAGTAAAACTCGGCCCCACTTGCAAGTGCTCACAGATCCACTGGAGAGACAGAGACTGTCAAATGACTGTGTGATATGCTCCATGACTCCCTCCTTTTCAACAGCAGGATGGAGAAGATGACAATAACCACAAGCTGTTTGAGGAGGTCTGGGAAGATTTTCACCACGGGTAAGATGCTCGAGCTAGAATGTGGAGTTTCTAAGTGGGCACGTGTGACCACACTAGCCAAAGGAAGCCCCTGCGAGAGGAGCCAGAGGTTTACAGCTGCTCGGCACCTCAGGGCATGTGGGTGATGAAGCAGGGAAGCAGAGAGTAGCCCGCAAGGAGACTGGAGAAAGAGACAGTGTGTTCAGGAGGACAGGGCATGAGGCTGGAGTCAGCAGGACTCAGGTTCCAATCACAGCTCCATCACCGTGGCTGCAGGACCCAGTCCCTTTACCTCACGGAGAACCCCTCCGGACGGCACGTGCAGCTGGGAGGGGACATCCCAGGCTGTGGCAGCATCCCAGGAAAACGCTGATGAGGGGCAGAGAGCTTGGTGAGGGCGGCAGTGCCCACAAGAGGAAAGGGTTGAGGGGCTCGGTGAGCTGGGAGGCAACATCAGCCCTGGTGGCACTTTAGATGAAGTGAGTGGTGGCGAGGAGGAATTGAGGGTGAAGTCCTTGCCAGCTCAAACTACAGGCATTTTGGCAATGAATCCCAAGAAAAGAAAACCGGAGTGCATGATAAAAGTTAGCATCGTCACTGCTTTGTCATCGCTAAGCTTTTTTTTTGGCAAGAGCCTTGCACTGTCCCCTCCGTCCAGGATGAATAAGCTGAGGCCCCAGAGAGGCAAAGTTACTCCCCCAAGATCATGGGGGGTGGAGGATGGTGGGCACGACAGGCAGTGGGGTGGAAACTAGTATGGGGACTCCTTGGACAGGTAAAGCCAGGTCATTGGGTCAGTGGCCATGTGTAGAAATAACTGTGCATTTGAGTTTTTAAAACCATGTTATGTGCTATTTAAATTGGTCTTAAAATGGTGTTTACTGCAGAAGGGGATTGGGCCCTTTCACAAGAGGCCAGTTGAATTAGGGACCAGGTTATAAAAATTGTTACCTGAGCCAGGTGTAGGGCTGGCTCACACCTGCAATCCCAGCACTTTTGGGAGCCAAGGCAGGAGGATTGCTTGAGCCGAGTTTGGACCAAACTGGGCAACATAGCAAACTTTTCTCCTCAAAAAATAAAAAAATTAGCCGGTATGGTGGCCTGTGCCTGTAGTCCCAGTACTCAGGAGGCTGAGGCAAGAGGACCACTTAGCCCAGGAGTTTGAAGTTGCAGTGAGCTATGATGACACCACAGCACTCCATCCTTTGTGTCTAAAAAAAATGTAAAAAAAAAAAAAAAAAAAAAATATATATATAACTATATATACAAATAAC